TTAACTTCTTTGGTGCCCTTCCCAGCGCCCTTGGCTTTGTACAGACATAGCTGATATTGCTTTGAAACGGGGATCTTGGGCAGTCGGATGGTTGTATAGATCCCACCAAAGAGTGAGTACCTTCCCTGATGGTGCTGCAGATGGAAGTTTTGTTGGTCAGTGTAATCAAGGTCTTAGTGCAATGAGCCTCTGTTCCCCTGGGGGCTTTGAGCTGTGAGCATTAGCTGCTCAAACCATCATGATCACAGTAAGCACATCTACATGTTCATTAATGCACCTTAGTTACTGTGCATTTCGTTTAGTACTTGCTTAATAAAGTACTAACTAGAATTCCTGTGTAGTAGCTTCAGTACACAGTTTTTGTTTTTTTGTGATGCTTACTGCACGTTGGCCTAATAAGTAACACTGCACAGTAGGCTATTAGCATGGTTTCTAACCGCCATGCTACTGTGCAGTGTTATTGGGCTAATGCGCAGTAAGCGTCTCATGTAGTCGCACCCAGTGATGACCTAACAGCTTTTTTGAAAGTGCAGGACTCCTTCATGTCAGTTCAAAAGGGATCTGTTGCAGTAGGGGGAATGTGACAGCCATGCAGAAATGTCACACGCACCTTCCAGTGCAGCTGTGGAACTAGGATGTTCACCTCCCACTATGAGACAGGCTAATGTTCTTCCAGGTAAATAGGGAGGGAAACTGAGGCAGGGGGCAGTCAGAGTGGAGAATGGACTCTCGCTCCATCCCTTTCTGGATGGCCAGATGGCCAGAACCAGGCCTCTTTCTGGAGGCCTATACACCCCTCCACGAGCTGGGACCAGAACTCTGTTCTGTTCTCACAAGCAGGTTGTGCTTGTCCTGACCCGTTAGACCACAGAGTTGGCAGTTTAGAGTTAGCACAATGCTTATCCCCACTCTAAAGACACGGCCCATTGGTTAGGATGGGACTGTTCCTGATAGCACAGATGGCAGGTGTTGTGGTCACTGACCAGGGAGGGAGGGAACAGTCAGTAGAAAGCACCAGCAGCCTCCCTGCTGAGCGACCCTTTGGCTCCTTCAGACAAGTTCTCCCACCACCTGTAGGGATGTAGCATTGTCTCCTGAGTTAATGTTTGATATAATGAAGGCAGTGAAAGAATTGGAGAGGGGACAAGCCAGGCCAAGAACAGTGCCTGTAGGGAAGAGTGCCCTGATGGCCTGTGAAACTTTTCCTCCTCATCTCCAGCCCCTTTTATCTGCCCATTTTACCTGGCAGAGGCTGCTTGAACTGGGTGCCCATTGGGAGAGAGGTGTAGTTTGGACTGTGATGCTATGGCTGCCTGTGGCATCCAGGCTTCAGGGCTTTCTTCTGTTCCCTAAAACAACAGGTTCTCCACCAGACACTTGGGCTGCCCATGACCTTTTTCATATCTGTTTCCCATTCCAATTCTTTCTTCAGATGGTAAATGAGAGTCCTTGCCTGGAATAGCTTAATGAGCCCATACAATACCTGATGTAAAAGGACTTTGTTCTTGGGTGTAATCTCAAGGTGCTGTTGTGGTGCTGAGCCCTTGAGGGTTCAGGTGCATAGCACTTCTCAGGATCAGGTAGATGTGAGAGGGGTAGGTGGAGGATGAGAGGAAGATCCTGATTCAGCACTGTCCTGGCACAGAGCTATTGGCATTGCACAAGTGCTCAGATTCTAGTAGGCCCACTGATGACGGGTGAATCTCACCCAGCCAAAATGATTGTATGTCCATGCTATATGACATGCATTGGAGTGCCCAGAGGTAATACCTCTCATCCTAGAACAAGTGGATAAAGTATTGCACCTTCTTGCATACCAAACGCACCCTTCCCCCCAAATGACTACAAGGAAAGCTCTCTGCCCCCTCCGCCTTCATTCTGCCTTTCAAAATGAGGTGTGTGTCTTATTTTGGGGTGCACTGTAGGCAAGAAAGTACGGTAATACTTAGCCTGAGCTCTGTAGCCTGTAGAAATTACTGTAGATCTGAGCTACAGTCATGGATGCCAGCAGCGCACCCCACCCACAGCTGAAATGCGGCACCTTCTGGGGTGGAAGCTGGCAGCTCTTTAACAGCATGCTTAAGTGCTCCTCTTCCCAAGCAGGCAATTATACCCTATCTTGCTCAAAGTTACAAGGTGGATTTAAGCGGGCAGGCTGTAATTAGCCCAACTGGAATCTGGAAAGGACGCTGGGGATAGTTCTCTTATCTAAACCTTAATGGGAGTCCCACCTGCCTCTTCAAGAGGCTGCACATCGGGCTTAAAGATAAAGCTGTGGACAGCAAGGAGCACTCTTATTACAGGACTTAGAAGCAATTAGCCGCAGTAAGAAATTGTTCTCTAGGCAGGTCTGAAGGTGTCAGGGGCTTTACGAGTTTCTTAAGCGGACTCGTTTATTCGTAAGCCCAGGGAAAGCTGCTCTCGGGGAAAACAATTACTGCTCGGATGGTGCCTGCGCCAGCTGCTGACCCAGTTTGAAAGTCATCGCAAAAGCAGGTGGTGGGTAACTTTCTGGCATGTCTTCATGGAGATTTAATGCTGAAGGGGAAGAATTGGTCCCTTTGCTGACCAGGCAACTGAGAGGTCAGGGGGGAGAACTTAATTCTGTCTCTTATTCATGAAACCTCCTTCACACCTCCTAGCCCTGCTACATCAGGGAACCAAGACGTATCTGCTCTCTGCCAGAGAGACAGGACAAGAGACTGGGCAAGATTACACCTGTGATCTGACCCAGTAAATAGCAGTTCTTATGGCAGCAGTCAGGTGTTATACACGCCTTTCCCTTAGGGGGGAAATTTGCCTACCCAGGAGGTTCTGTAGAAATCACTCTTTAAACCCT